CAATCGATTCTTCTTCTGTCATCCTTATTCATTGATCAGCTTTCAAGTATGTAGAAAGGAATTGAAAAGACTTAGATTAGGCACACCTTAGTTTTTAAACTGACATCCTTACCCTTTAGCATTTTGAAGAGGTCCTTGACAGCAGATTTCCCCAAGGCAACATGTCTTTTGATTTCTTGACTGCTGTTACTGTGGATGTTGATCATAAATCCAAATAAAATGAAATTGTTAACAACTTCAGTCTTTTTCTCCATCTATCATAATCTTGCTTATTGGTTCAGTGGTGAAGATTTTTTTTTCTTCATGCTGTGATGTAATCCATATTGAAGGCTATAATCTTTGATCTTCTGCAGCAAGTATTTCAAGTCCTCTTCACTTTCTGCAAATAAGGTTGTGTCATCTATATAATGCATGTTGTTGATGAGTTCTTTCTCCAATCCTGATGCCACATTCTTATTCTCCAGTGAATTCCTCAACATACAGATTAAATAGTATGGAGAGAGAATGCACAGCTTTCGTGCTTTTAAACTGTGCACTATTCTTAATTCTTTAAACAGCTATTTGGCTTATCACATAATCAGAAAATATTATATAACTTCTCCTTGTTGTTGTTCAGCGCCGCCGAGTCATAGACGACTCACAGCGACCCTATGAACTAAAGGCCTGAATGCTGTTCATAGAGTTTCCGGAGGTAAGCCATTTCGGAAGTGGATGCCACTCCTGCTTCCAGGCTTGTTTTAGTTGGGAAGCTTCAGCCAACACTGTCCACCATGGGTATCCATTACCATGTTTGGCACATCAGTGTCTTAGTGTTTAGCATCACAGCAACCACGAGTTACCTCTGTACAGCAAGGCACAGACCAGGCACACCTCCTGCCTTAAACCCTAGGCCAAGCTTGGGGGCCCTCGCTTCTGGGGGGCAGAGCAGTCCTGCATGTCAGACACAAGCCCAACAAAGCACTCGACTCAAAAACTTTCCATAATATCTGCGCACTCACGCACACGAACCACTAAGCTCTTGCAGCAAGAAGTCACAGAAACAACTTATACCTTACATCGTTAATATTGTTATATTAGGTATCATTGAGTCAGTTATGTCTCATAGCAACCCTTGAACAACAGATTGCTACCTTGCCCTATTGTGTGCTCCATCAGCACAGTCTCTGCCATGCTTAAGTCCACTCTTAAGAGTCACTGCAAAAGAATCACTTCTGTTACTAACCCTCTTATCTTTTTTTACTATGCTGTCTTTTTCCAAGGACTGGCTCCTCCTACAGCATGCCCAAAATGTGTGAGATGAGGTTTCTCCGCCCTTGCTTGTAAGGAGCACCGTGGTACCAGCAGTCAGGAAATAAGGAGACTAATTGCACTGGGGAAATCTGCAGTTTGGAACATTTCTAAATTCTTGAGGAGTAATGATGTCAGTTTGAGGACTAAGGTGCACCTAATTTAGGCCATAGTCTTCCCAATTACTAGCTATGCATCTGAGACCTGGACAATAAATAAGGATTACAGAAGAAGAATTGATGCCTTTGTGCTGTGATGTTGGAGAAGGGCACTGAACATCCCATGGACTGCCAATAGAACAAACAGATATTTCTTAGAGAGGGTAGAGTTGGAATGCTTTTTGGAGGCAAGAATGATGAGGCTCTACCTCACTTTGACCATTTTGCTAGGAGGTGCTGTTCCTTGGAGAAGGACATGATGTTGGGAAGGGTTGAGGGTTGGTGAAGCCCTCAGCCAGGTGGATTGACAGGGTGATTGCTGCAGTGGGCTCTTCTGTGTCAGGAAGTGTGATGATGGCGCAGAACAGGACCGAGTTCAGATCTTTTGTTCATAGGGTCTCTATGAGGCTTACTTGTCTCAGTAGCACCTAACAGACAACAACAACAATTCAATCTATGACAGTCTTAAAACAATTTCATTGGTTTTGTTTTGACTTTTTTTTTAAGGTAGCTGCTATTATATGTGATGACTTGCTTTATAACTCAGTTGTGAGTGTGTAATTCCTAGTCTAGCTGCTCTAGACTGGGACAGCACACATTGTCCCCACAGCCTCGGCCTTCACACTTACATACTGATCCTGCACACATCTAGAGAGCCTCAGGGTTCCCACAGTTCCCAGATTAAGACCTGGCATAGAGGAGAAGGCTGATAGGAGGGGAGGAGGGAAGTAAGTGCTTGGAGCTCCAGCTCCAGTGTTGTGTTGAATTTCTTCTTTGAGCCCTAGTGAGCTGTTGATTGCTTCCTAAAAGTGGAGTGATATGTGAGGGGGTGGTTTTTAATTTTGGACGATTTATTGGTAGGAAGAGCTAAGGAGAAACAAGAAATAAATACAAAATAAGAAATCAGGGTAGTAGTTAGAAGACCTTTGCCATCTTCCTAAATCAAGCTCAGAGAAACCAATACAGATGGATTCAGTGCTTGCTCACAGGCTAAGAAACATCAGAGGGAGAGCAGCCCCCTGGTTTGCTGAGACCACGTAACTATAGTGAGTAGTAATTGGCTGTGGCCTAGATACACCTGCTGCCTCTGCGTTGCCAGGCAAGGCCATGGTTCTCACTGGGCCGAGGCTTGGCCCTGCCTGTTGGTAGAATAGCTCCAGATATTTCTTCTTTTTATCAGGTGCTTTTCTGCTCTTAAGGAGCTTTGGTGGTCTAGTCCGCAAGGAGTTGCTTTACCAATCCAAAGGAGGTGCCTTTCTGGTAGTTACAACCCACCTGAAACTCAGCAGAAGGAAGATGGACAGTATCCTCCCTTGACATTCATATCCTCAGAAGCCTGGTGGAGGGTCAGCCATGAGTCGGTTCCCACTTGACAGCAATAAGGTGGTTCTGTTCCTTTTTTCTTTTCATCCCAGTGAGCACCAATAGGCAGCAGCATGGTAGATGGAGAAATAATTGAAGTTGCCAACGATTTCGTTTTACATGGATCCACTATCCACATCCAAGGTAGCAGCAGTCAGGAAATGAAAAGACATGTTGCGTTGGGAAAATCTCCTGTCAGGGACCTCTCCAAGTTCTGAAAAGCAACTATGTCATTTAAAGATTAAATGGCCCAATTCAAGCCATGGTGTTTTCTGTTGTTTGCTGTGCATCTGAAAGTTGCGCAATGAATAAGGAAATTCAGAAGAGAAATCGAAGTAGTGGAGAACAGTATTGAATATCTCATGAAATGGCAAAGGTACAAACAAATCAGCATTGAAGGAATTGTAACCAGAGTTCTCCTCAGAGGCAAGGATGGTGAAACTTTGTCCTGCTTCCTTTGGGCATATTTTTCAGGAGGAACCAGTCCTTGAAGAGAGACATCATGCTGGGGAAAGTAGAGGGTGAGAGATACAGAGACAGACCCTCAGCCGGGTGGACTGACAGAGGAGTGGCTGCACCAGTGAGCCTGAGTGTATTAGAGATGGTGAGGCTTGGTCAGTAGAGGGCAAGGGTCAGATCTGCTGTTCTTAGGGTCTCTGTGAGCAACCTGATGGCACCTAGCCACAAAGTGACAAGAGACACAAAGGAGAGGTAGGGTTTGATACAGGTATCAGCACAGGAACCTCCCGCACAAGAGAAATCTGAAACCCCCTCATTTGAATACCAGCTTTTTGTGAAAATAATCAGAAATAAAAAAGGAGTTTTTTGTTTGTTTGTTTATATTTTATTTTTGTCAAGCTCTTTGTATAAAAGTAAGTGGTTGGTAATCCTAGAGGTGCACAGTTCGAATCCCCCAGATACTCTGCTGGAGAAGGAGGAGCAGTCTCCTCCTGTACCAGTCAAATCCAGTTTGATGGTATACACAAAAATAGTAAAATAAAATAAAATTTAAAAAAAAATTTAAAAGTAAGTGCTTGGCATAAAAACCTATACCAGCTGCTTCCCAGACCACTGTAGCACACAGCAGTGGTTTCCAAAATACAGAAGCAGACGGTGGCATGAAGAAGCATTTGCAGGTGACGTACGTGATTTCTGTGTGGCGCCAGCAAGGGGCTCTTGCACGGTGGTGATGGTGAGGGTGGCACAGGATCATACACTGTTTAATTCTGTTGTCCGTAGGGTCCCTGTGAGCCGGCCACGACCACATGGAACTTGGGAAAAGCTGGGCAGGGCAGTAGCTGTAGAAGGTCACATGATGTCTAGAAATAGTGTTGGGTGTCCTCGAGTCAGTTTCAGTTCAGTCAAACCACCTAACAGAGTTGAAGTGCCCCGAGGGGTTTTCTAGACTGTACTTTTTGCAGGAGCTAACCTCCAGGTTTTTGTCCCGGTGAGCCCTGACAGGTTTAAACCACCACCCTTTTCATGCAAAGCCTTGTCCTTCATCCTTTGTGCCACCAGAATGTCAGTGAAGTATCTCAGTCACAAAAGGATAAATACTGCATAACACCGCAGTTATAAAATAGAACAGTTGTAGGGGTTGGGAATGTAACAGGGAAGGCGTGGATAGATAATGCACACTGCATTAGAACAGATGAGGAGAAGAACTGTTTGAAAGGAATATATGATTATGCATATGATATGTTTGAGAATAATCTGGAACAAGGGGTACATTGTGGGTGGGCTGGGGGAGGGAAGGGGGGAGAAAATGTGTAACAGTGAATAAATTAAAAAAAAATACAGAAATTAAAAAGAAGGGGGGGAGAATATTCCAGCTGTTGTCATTCCTCTTGAGGACAGAGGTTGTATTTAGAGGATCAACAGTTTGCTGTTTGTTTTAGATTGAAATCCAGATATCTGAAGAACTGAAAGTAATGCACATTTCTTCCCCACCCCAAACACCACAAAGAAAGCCTGGATAATTGCTGATTTTTAAGGGCTCTCATTATCCCAGGAACAGCAGATTGACCTTGTTTACAAAGCAGAGGGAGTGTTAAAAGACTGTACATTTGATCCAGCTTCTAAAGACTTGTTGTGTTGATCTGCAGCCTATCAGATTTCGAGTTCATTAGGCTTTATTTTCTTCATATTTTTCTTTCCTTTTTCTTTTTTTAACCTCACATGTTGTTCTCCCAGGGCGCACCTTCCCGACGCACCCATACTTCTCAGCACAGCTGGGAGCCGGGCAGCTCTCCCTGTACAACATTCTCAAGGCCTACTCGCTGCTGGACCAGGAGGTCGGGTACTGCCAGGGCCTCAGCTTCGTGGCCGGCATCTTGCTGCTTCATATGAGCGAGGAGGAGGCCTTCAGGATGCTCAAGTTTCTAATGTTCGACATGGGCCTGCGGAAGCAGTACCGGCCAGACATGCTTATCCTGCAGGTATGGCGCATTCCCGTGGCTCTGAAACAGATAAATGGAACCCATGTGGCAGGGGCCCTCCACAGGTCTGCCTAAGGAGCCCTCTCACCATCAGTTAACCTCGTAATAGTTGTCACTGTTGATCACTTGCTTGGTGCAGGCATTATATCAAGTATTACATATGCATTTATTCCTTCAGTAACCAGAGAGTGAAACCAGGCTGCTCCCTGGAGGCAAGGATTTTTGAGGCTCTGTCTCACATACTTTGGGCACATGACAGGGAGGGACCAGTCCTTGGTCAGGGACATTATGCTTGGAAGGGTGAAGGGACAGTGCAGGAGAGGAAGACCCAAGATGAGATGGATTGACTCACTGACTGGAGGAATGGGATTAGGTCTTTTGGAGATGTTAAGATTAGCTCAGGTTAGGGCAGGGTTCAGAGCTAATGTACACAGGGTCACTGTAAGTCCCAGGCCATGCAATGAAAGGCACATAACAACAACATAGATGGCACACCAAGGCTCAATGGGGTTATTATGTCCCTGGACCAGGCCATGCAGTTAATAAGTGACCGAGCTGGGGTTGAAAGCCAGCCCTGGCTGATTCTAGAGCCCTCCTTCTTATTTCTGAGACCAAATACCACTTCCTAAGGACACTAGTTAAGACCGTCAACCTTCTTCAGTACCAGTTACTGCTATGTCGATTCTTCCTCATGGCAGACCCATGGGTATCAGAATAGAACTGTACCCATGAGATTGTCAGTTGCTGATTTTTCCAAAAGCAGATCACCAGGCCTTTCTTCTGATGTTCCTTTGGGTGAACCTGAACCTCCAAACTCTCAGCAACCAAGTATGTTTATCATTCATGTCACCCAGAGACTCCCATGCCATCATCAGGAGTTCTCCTAACTCTTCAAAGTCTTTGCACCTGCTACTTTCCCAGCCATGTCCTCCTGTCAGAAGCATGGGGCTGGCCATATCTGAACTCCACAAAGGGACCTGCCATCACCAACATTCACAGCACAAAGCAAAACCAATTCCCATGAAGTCCGACATGTCCCCCACGCTCTGCACCACTTTCTGCTCATCCCAGCACCAATCTTTCTGCTCTCCTGAGTCCAAAATCTATTGCCGTAGCTCACAGAGCACTTGGAACTATGCTCACAGTTATGAAGTTTATTAGGGAAGTGAAAAGGCTATAATTCATGTTGGTAGCAGGATGCAATCAGTCAGGACAACTTCTGAAATGTGCTTGCAGGCTCAGCCTTCAGCCTCATGGCTTTAGGTCAGTATGTGTTAAATGAAGGAGTTACACGTTTAGGTCACGTAGAAGATCACTAAGCAGTGAAGTGTGTTCCAAGCACCCAATGCTGTTACAGCTGCTGGTCAGAGATGGGGAGACCTCTGTACCCTGCTTCCAGAATATTCCTGCACATTGTTCAAAATGCTGGAGTGTGTGTGCATGTATTCCTTTACCAAGAAGATTGGTGACTTCAGAGCTTGAGAGGGTATCTTTGGAAAGGACACCCGAGGCTGTGCCAGGGACACGGTCAGAGCTCCAAAGCCCTTTCCCTGGAACTGGGAACATCAACCACATGAGAAGGAATTTCCAGAAAGGAAGCCATCTCAGTCACTGATTTTGACCCAGATGACACTTTCCACCCACGAGTCAAGTCCTTCCTGCTTTGTCCCCATTAGTTTAATGTCAGGGCACTTGTCATGTGAAAGATGTGGAATTTTTTAGTTCTGTCTCATTTAGTGTCAAAACGTAAAGCTCTTTGGGGGTGCTGACCCTGGGTAATTAGACCCTTGGATGTGGGAGAGCCACAGCTGGTATATAAGAGGATTGCGGTGTCTGGCCTTTTGAATACCATCTCTCTTCAGTTTGATGAGTTTACATCCAAATTGTAGCATCTCCACAGGGTCTTACCTCTGTCAGTGATTGTCTCGTGGGACTTAGACCAGAAGCCTTTGCTCATTGCTGGGCTGACTCTAGGGTTTCTGGGAGCCCTGAGACTTGTGGTGGGGATGCAGGGAACAGAACTGGCTTCCTGCCCTAACCTTACCACTGTCTGAAGGGGAGGAGCCCTTGGAGCTGAGATTAAACTTTATTTGGAAAAAGCCATTTCCTTTATCTTGATGAAAACACTTCTTATTTTCTCTTGCTAGTATCTATATATTTCATAAGTATCTAGATATTTCATAAGCTATAATCTATACAGCTTCAGTGTCATCCTGTCTCTCGAGTCATGCGTGGTGGGAGATGGGCTCTGGGAAGAATTTTGCTAAGTTGTGCGTGTGCTTTGTAATCTTTCTACAGAATCATGGTATGCCTTCAGTTCACTATTAACAGAGAGCCTAGTTTTCCTGCCCCCTAATCCCCCTGGGTTTAAGTTGCTAAGAATGTGTGCTCGTAGAGATTTTATGAAATCTCTCCAGAAGGCATCTGTTTAGATTCTCTTAGCCAAGGAACATGGGAGGGACAGGAGAGGGAAGGAAGCGATGTGGGAGGAGAGCCCCACATGGGTGATCAGAGACACGTGGCAAACACTCTCTGGATGAATTAACAGCCAAGACCAATGATTATCACAAGCCAAACAGGGCTCTCTTTTAATGTCTTGGAAAAATTGTGATTTCAATGAAAGGTTACAAAGTAAGTTGGTTTTCATTCATCCTTCCTATGCACTTTGTTTTAGGGCATTAATTATAATACCCACAAAGTAGCTACATTCTCCCCACTTCCTCCTAATCATTCTCATTTCCATTAATCCTTCTATATGCCTCCTTCTGTCTTCCTGAGCTTTGTTCATAGGCAAATGCTGTCCTTTATAAATCTTGGGTGCTTGACTATTCTAAGGAGCCAAATTCTTTTACAAATTAGTGAAATAAGCGTCTGACAAAAGGACAAATAGTGTGTAAGACCACTGTGATAACCTAAAGACAGGTTTTCACATAGACAGAGCCATTCTAGTGTGATTTCCAGGGTGGAGAAGGAAAGTAGAAAATCAATAGATGATAAACACTTAGTAAGATGGATAGGGAGCACTCGTGGCCTAGTATGACATTGCGCTGCCAACTCAAAGGCAGACAGTTCGAATCCAACAGACACTCCATGAGAGAAAGATGGACAATCTCTTGTGGTGTGATTGTTTCAGATTGAGTCCGTTTCAGCTCAACAGCACATAACAACATTGAGAGGAAGAAGCTGGGGGCATGTCTCCCAGCCAAGTGAACACACACCTCCCAGCGCAGAGGTGGAACCTGTGTGGAAAACCACCTGGTAGTGGAAAGAAATGTGGAAAGAAATTTAGTTTGTTATGAAAGAATTGAATGTTTATCAATTAAAAACAAAAATGAATGGAGAAGACTATATGGAATCAATGGATGATCATGCATTGTATGTGTTTGTAATTGATGCTACAGAGCGAAATGTAGCGTGCATGATTAATTGAAAGACCAGTTTGTTTTGTAAACTTTCATTCAAATAATAATTATTAAAACAAAAACAAAAAAACCCACCAACCAACAGTACTCTTGGGAGTGTTCCTGTGAGTGGGACATGTGACTTTCTCCAGCAGATAACCGGGTTTTAAACGGAGATGGGCATGTATTCCCGCAGATCCAGATGTACCAGCTCTCGAGGCTGCTTCACGATTACCACAGGGACCTGTACAACCACCTGGAAGAGCAGGAGATCGGCCCCAGCCTCTACGCCGCCCCCTGGTTCCTTACCATGTTCGCTTCCCAGTTCCCGCTGGGCTTTGTAGCCAGAGTCTTCGGTAAGTCTTCGCAGATCCATTTGCCAGAACCATAAAACAGTAAACATTTACTCTCACTCTGTGGTGGTAATTCTCTTGTTTTTGTCAATCTTCAATAAGACCAAGGCATTATTTGATACTCTTAAGTGAGGGTTGGGTATTAGGAATTTCAACAGCTGTTTTATTTTCTGACAATAATTGGACTTTCCTTGACGCCTTTCATCTTAACAGCATTTAGATCAATTTTGCTCTAAATGAAACTCTCCTGGAGCAGATATTTTCAAAAGTTGGCCAGAGAGCCCCAGGCATATGTTTTAGGGTTCTAATTTCATAAGTCATCATTCCCCACATCTCTGGCTTGTGACTGATGACTGATGAAAAATAAAGCCAGCCTACAGCTGTCACTGAGTCCAGTCCGACTCGTGGTAATCCCACGTGTGCAGAGGCCTCTGCTCTACAGTTTTCAAGGCTGTGGCTTTTCAGTAGCTGATCACCAGGCCTTTCTTCCAAGACACGTCAAGTGCTTATACCCCTAAAAACTCCTTGTTAACTGATAACTCCTTAACATTTCCTCCTGTGGCTTCTGGACTTGTCATCCTCCCAAAGTCTGTCCCTTCTTTTAGTTGTCACTCTCGTAAAGGCCACACGTCGGGACTTTAAGTGACTCCTGTACATTGATCACTCCCCCTCCCATCTTCAGCTCTGACCTCTCACCGAGCCAACAGCCCCATCTTCCCATGTGTCACGGATCACCGCCACTTCGTGTCCTCACTGTGGCCTCGGCTTGCTCACGTCTCACCCCATCTCCCATCTTCCCCGTTCATTTCTGGAGAATTTCGCTGCCACAGCTAACCAGGCCTTCCCTGCAGAGTCTCATAACCGTCGTGAGGTGGCCAGGATGCAGTGAGGGTCACTGAACACAGTCATTTCTCACAGTGCAGCTCCTTTTCTCTACTCCAGGAGGGAAAGTGATGGTTTTGAGAATTCAGATTCTTTTCTGTTTCTCACTCTGTTTCATTGGGCTTTGCTACAGGAATCTGTGTTTTTTAATACATATGTATGTACATGTTTGGAATCAGGAGTGGCATCCACTTCCTAGACCACATGCCTCTGGAAACTAAGAACTTTGATAAGTGTTGATAGTTACAGAAAGGCTTCAGGACTTTTGTTCATAGGGTTGCTATGAGTTGTGCTCGACTCAACAGCAATCAACAACAACAACATGCACATATGTGTATACACACACACATATATAGATGTACATATATAAATAGATATATATTTACGTACATATACATATGTATATACATATATACACTTTGGATTATCAAGAAGGGCTAATCCTTGGGAAAAGACATCATGCTAGGAAAGATGGAAGTTCAGAGAAAGAGAGGAAGACCTTCAGTGAGATGGATTGACACAGTGACTTTAAGAGTGGGTTCAAGTGTATCAGAGATGTTGAGGATGGCGCAGGATAGGGCAGGGCTTAGATCTGTTGTCCATAGCTTACAATGAGCTGTAATCAACTTGATGGCACATAACAAAAACATGTATGCAATGTATACATTTATATCGTGTGTGTGTGTGTGTAAGGGAGCTCTGGAGATGTGATGATAAGGCATGATGCTGACAACCCAAAGGCACTCGGTTCGAATCCACTAGCTACTCTGCAGGAGAAAGATGGACAGACACCTCCCATGAGATTTACAGCCTCTAAAACCCACTTGTTGGTTCGGACTCAACGGCAAACAGTAACAACAACAATATAGGTATATGTAGAGAGAGAAAGACTATTTAGCTTAATAACTTGGCTCCCAGGACTGTGAGGGCTAACAGGCCTAAGACCTGTAGGTCAGACTCAGGAAGAGTGAAGAGTCCAGTAAACATGTCTATTTATAATTTTGTAACAGAGTGTCCTCTAGAAAAAGCCTCCCTTTTTCCTCATAAGGCCTTCAGCTAATTGTCTGAGGCCCACACAGATGGTGGAAAGTAATTTGTTTTATTGCCGGGAAGTGGTTTAATCACCTGTAACTATTTCCTGCAGAGCCCTGGTGGCACAGTGGTTAAATGCTTGGCTGCTGACTAGATGGGCAACTGTTTGAAGTCACCGTCGTCTGCACGGGACACAGATGAGGCTCTAGTTCTGTAAATACTTACTGCATTTAAGCCCTATGAGGGCAGTTCTCCTCTGTCCTGTAGGGTTACTGTGGGTCAGAACTACCTCAATGGTATTGGGCTTTTAATGACTTCATAATAGTGTCTAGACTAGTGTTTGACCAGACAGTGGGCCACCAGAGCCAACCACGTTGTCACGTAAGGTCTGCCATAACAGAGGGAGAAGTTATTAATGAACTGACAGTCAATCACGTACCAAGTTTTGTTGTGTTTTTTTTTTATTTTTTTAAATTTTTATTGTATTATTTTTACGTGTACTGTCAAATCAGATCTGACTGGTACAGGAGGAGATTGCCCCCTCCTTCTCCAGCAGAGCATCTGGTGAATTTGAACTGCGTACCTCTGGGATTGCAGTGCAGCATCTTGCCACTAGGCCACCAGAGCTCCCCGTACCAAGTATTTTTATTGTTTGGTTTTCTTTTTTTGGTGTGGTTTTATTTTTAAATAAAATTTTTTAACAAAAGTTTACAGGAAAGTTAGTCTTTCATTCATTAATTGTTGCACATTTTACCACCCTCTCTCCCTTCACCCTCCCCAAGTTGACATTTTTGGTTATACTAGTTTATTTACAAAATTTAAATACATTGTTTCTGAGAACAGATTCTTCCAATTTCTCTCATCACCTCCATCCATCAGATTGTACAACCCCATGCTTAATTCCCCTCCCCCTACCTCTGCTTCCACCCTCCGCCCCTCTGGAGCCTTAGACTCATTCTGTAATAATGGGTTTATACCGTATTTGTCCTTGTGTGGTATCAAGTGTTTTTAAATGACATGTTCACTCACTGACTGTTTAAGAATAAATAACCTTACACTTTTCCATATAACCTCTCCTCCTCAGTGTGAACACACTGAGAAATAGCTTATTATATTCATACCCGCAGAGAGAAATATCTTTCAGTCCATTTCTTTAGAGGTCCACATCTGTCTTTATAATTAGAGAGCATTTTTATGGGAATATTCTAAAACTCTGAGAGTAATACTAATTTAAGTCATGTTTTTAATAGCTGCCCTGTATCTCCAAACTCTAGAAATCTAAGAAACCAGTTTAAAAGAATGAAGCAAAACCATCCTGCTCTCTAAAAATGTGTGAGCCCTGATTGAGTTTGTGTCTCACTTCTCATTGCCTCCCACGTGCTAGGTGATTGTTTCTCATTTGCAGCCACGAGAACCTTTACAAAATTTCTCGTGGGCCTTTGTGAGAGGAATTGCATTCTTAAGGTGTTGCCTGCTCCCCTTGGAAAAATCACCTCCATAAATTGATGTTTATGCGCTGTCCCTGGAGAAAAAAATCATTAAAATTATTACCTTGTAGTTAAATCATACTCGTAGTGAGATTTCATGAAGTTTTTATGTCACTGTACAAAGTAGGGAGGGCAGATAATGAACTAAAGGCTTGAAAACTTGTCTGGTTAGCTAACAAAAGACTTGCAGCAACTTTAAGATCTTCAGCTGTAGGCTCCAGCCTGTTTTTGTTCATACTTTCTGTGTGTTTGGAAATTAAAAGAAATCTATGCGTTTAACTCCAGAGCTCTGGTGGCTTGTTGTTGTGAAGTGCCTTGAAATCAATTATGACTCATAATGACCCCGTGACAACAGATCTGAACCCTGTCCTGTCCTGTGCCATCCTCACAATCTCTGACACACTCAAGCCCTTTGCTGCAATGACTGTCACTGTGGTTGAGGATCTTCCTCTCCTTTGCTGTCCCTCCACATTCCCAAGCATGATGTCCTTCTCCAAGGAATGACCTAGCAACATGCCCAAAGTATGTGAGATGAAGGAAGCTTTATCATCTTTGCCTCCAGGTGGTCGGGATTTGTGCTGCCAATGCAGAGGTACATGGTTCAAATCCACCAGCTGCCCCGTGGAAGAAAAAGATGAGCAGTCTCCTCCCGTGCGATTTACTGCTGTGAAAACCTGCTGGAGCCTCAGCTACATGTTGGTTCTGACTCGCCGATACACAATAGCAGTAACTAGTGGCACAGTAATTAAACACTCTTGTGCTAGCTAGACAGTTGGTAGTTCAAAACTATTTACCAGCTCCATGGAGGCAAAGAGCTGATGATTTACTTCCATAACAATCGCCGAGACCCAGTGAGGCCATACAACAACAGCCTCGATAAGAGTTCGTTGTTGTTCTTCACTATATTTTTCAAGCAGTCATGGAAGGGAGTGAAGATTGAAAGGGGAAGAAGAGATGCTATCAGTGGTCCAAACCAGCAAAAGCATCAAATTATTGTAATTGCCAAGAAAATTAACTCATAATGTAAACCACGGACTGGAGGGAAGGTGAGAGGGGCCATCCCTGGCTTCTTCCCTGCGCCCCCACCCCAGTCCCTCGTTCAGGGACTCGTGCATGCCTGTGGATAATCCCGAGGCTCTGACAAGGCCTGATGGCACAGTGGTTAGGTGCTCAATTCCACACAGTGGCTCTACGGGAGAAAGACTTGACAATCTGCTCCCGTGTTCTTGTAGTTGTTATATTATCGAGTTGCTTGCAACTCATAGCAACCCTGAGTACAACAGATCTGAACCCTGCTCTATCCTGAGCCAACCTTGATGTCTCTGACGCACCTACCCCCACGACCCTTGTCATCCTAGTAGAAATGTAAAAGCTTATTGCCATCACGTCGGAACAGACTTGACGCAGACCCTCCTTTGGGTTTCCCTGGCTGTAATTCACACAGGAGACTGCTTCTCTTTCTCCTTCAGAGCAGATGGGTGGGCAGCACAGCTTCCTACAGAAAAGCCTCTGAGGTAGCTGTAGCCCTTCCAGCTCACCAAGAGACAAAGGTCTATTTAGGGCACATGATAATAACAAGGCCATAAAGACTTGCCTTGAAGT